CCTGGACCGAGTCGGCCCTCCCGGGATGCCCGGGGCCCGCCGCCACCCTGGCGCTCGGCTCGCCACCCCTGCACGGCGATCCCGTGTGGGTGTCGCTGTCTGTCCCAGGCGCTGGGGACGCAGCGTGGACAGGACAGGCGCGGCCCTCGTAGGACAGACGTGTTGGCCCTGGGTGGAAGGGGCGTTGCTCAGTCACCTCCTTGGCTTGGCGTGGACGTTCCCGGCTCCGTGAGTCCCTGCCTGAATGCCCGGTTCCTATAAGGTCAAAACCCCCTACACCTCCCTTCCAGCTGCTCCTTCAGCTCTTACCACCTTCCGTTAGGAATAAACAGATTTCTTACTTGTTTTGCTTAGTGCCCCCCCCACCCCCATGGCTGGAGGACAGGAGTTACTTCGGTTTTGTTCCCGGCTTGGCCACCAGGGCCTGGCACACAGTAGGTGTCAAGTTAATGAATGAATGCACTTGACCATCAACGACCAACTTTCTTAGCTCCTGTGCCAACGTGGACGAACCTTGGAAACACGAGATGAGCCCAAGAGCCAGACACAAAGGGCCACCACATAGGGTGTGATCACATTATAGATTTCATTTTACATTATGTTTCCGTGTCTCCGTGTAAAGCATTACATATGTGGGACAGAGTATTTTTAAAGTTATAGTTAAAGAGGTGTGTGTGTGTATTAAAAAAAAATGCACTGCCGTCCAGTCGGATCCGACTCAAAGACATCCCACCTTGGGTTTTTGAGGTGATATCGCTACAGAAGTAGATTGCCCAACCTTCCTTCCAAGGAGTGGCTGGGGGGTTTGAACCACTAGCCTTCTGGTTAACAGTCACATGACTTAGGCACTACTGCCACTAGAGCTCCCAATGTGTGTATATATGCAATGTGTGTGTACATATATATGTTGTTGTTGTTGTTATTTGCTGTCGAGTCGGCCCCGACTCATAGCGACCCCTCCTTGGGTTTCCGAGGCAGTATCACTACGGAAGTAGATATACATACGTGTATATATATACGTGTGTGTGTGTGTGTGTATATATATATATATATATGTATATGTATATGTATATGTATATGTATGTTGTTATGTGCCGTCGAGTTGGACCCAACTCATAGCAACCCCTCCTTGGGTTTCGGAGGCGGTATCACTACGGAAGTAGATTGCCCCATCTTCCTACATAAACCAAAAACCAAACTCACTGCCTTCTAGTCAGATCCGACCTCCTTGGGTTTTAGAGGCAGTATCATTACAGAAGTAGATTCTCCAATCTTCCTTCCGAGGAGAGGCTGGTGGGTTTGAACTGCCAACTTTCTGGTTAGCAGTCAAATGCCTTAGGTACTATGCTACCAGAGCTCCTTATATATGTATATGTATATATGTATGTATATATATATGTATATCTGTACCTATATATATATATATATATATATGTAAACCCATCAGCCACTCCTCGGAAGGAAGATGGGGCAATCTACTTCCATACTGCTACTGCCTCTGAAACTCAAGGAAGGGTCATTATGAGTTGGGTCTGACTAGACGGCACATAGTAAATAACTATATATATATATACACACATACACACACACACACATATACATATACACATATATCCACTACCATCAAGTCAATTCTGACTCATAGTGACCCTACAGGACAGAGTAGACCTGTCCCATGGGGTCTGCAAGGCTGTAAATCTTTATGGAAGCAGCCTGTCCCATCTTTCTCCTGCAGAGCAGCTGATGGGTTCAAACCACGGACCTTTTGGTTAGCAGCTGAGTGCTTTAACCACCACGCCACTGGAGCCACAACGTATATATATGACGCGTACACACATACACACAACGTATATGCATACGCTAAGTGAAGGAAGCCAGACACAAATGACCATATAGTGTATAATATACAATATAGCTCTGTGAGTAGCAATATGTATGTGAGAGTGGCAGTGGGGGTATGAAGTCAGGGCCTGAGGCAAGCTCAGGAATCCACCTGTGACCTTGAACTGACAAACAGGTGCAGGCAGGGCTGGCCTGACTGTCCTTTGGTCCTCAGCATCACATAGCAAGCTACCATTTCACTTTTTGTTTCTGTAACATTTTCCTGAAAATTACAAAAGTAG